TTTAAATTGTTAAAAAATAGCTATTTAACTATCTCACGTCGGCTTGCCTAGCAAGTAGATGTTAGGCGTCATCACGACCCCGGGGTTGGAATTCCGGATCGTGACATTTATACAATTTATGTGCATAACTATATACATTTATTTGTGCCACCAACTAGTTATTGTACGAGGCGGGGTGCGTAGAACTAAATTAAAGCAGCCGTAATGGCCCCATTGAGTTCGATTATTGGAGTATACTCTATTATTTGCATAGAAATACATGTCTTTTTGGATGTCATTTTGTTTATTTACGCTGAATTTTATTAGCACTTGAATTTTAGAAATAAATTTGAGGCAGGGTAAAATACTTAACCTCATTATGCATAATTAACACAGAGAGACAAGGGCATGATTATATCAAATAAAATCAAGCTAAAATAAAACTCATCAAATCTTGATTAAAATTAAATTGGTTGCTAACCTCCTCGACGTATTTCCATCGTAGGAAATAAACTTTCTTTTTATTTATGTTTGTTAGCATATATGCTTTTCGGACATAAGCACATGGTCAAGAATATCGGAAAATTGGTCGGATCTCTTATTTTTCATCCCTTTTTGTTCTCTTTCTTTTTTCTGTTCATTATTTTCTTTTCTTTTTTTCCGAAGTGTTTATTTATTAAACTATTAATCTTTTGTGGGGTTTGGGTATTGGGTGGAAGAGAGAGAAGAAGTAATTATTTTGCTTTGTTCGCCTCTTGTTTTTCTTTGTGACGTATGATTAGTTGATATTTTGTAGAAATAAAAAACGACTAAGGTTTTTCTAAACCACATGAGTTGTCATAGAATAGAAAGACATTCCATTAGATTTTTGGAATTAATAGACATTCTTTTGAAACAACTATAATAAGGAGCTAGTTTTTGGCAAATATTAAGAGAATATCAGAATAGTTATCTTAAGCTATTTCTACTAAACAGTTCTTATTGAAGTTTATGTATCATAAACTGCTAAAGATTTCGATGTAATTTTCGTAATAACTACGCCCAGTTCTATTAACGTAAGTTTTGTATAATAATGATAGCTAGTTGGATCCTATAACTTTGAAGATTTATACATTTTTTGAGAAACTGGAATACTTGCATTAATACTAAGAAACAGTCATATTACAATACGCTGAGATGCCTCTTGTATACATTTACATATGCTAGCAACTAGTTGGGTGGGGTGCTTAATACTAATTAAAGTTAAAGTAGATGCGATAGCCCCAACGCTAGTATTTGCTGATAAGTGGAGCACATGGATTAACACGTAGTAACATCAGAGGCGTTTGTCTCATTCAATCTCCACCGTCCAATACAGTTGTATTCTACCAGTCATGTAGATAGATTAATTGTATTATTTTGTCATGTGTAATAATTTAGTTGGGGTGGTTACACTTTGTTAGTAGTTAGCTAGTCAAGACATTAAGTATATATACATACGGTAGCTTGTACAGTAGAAGGTTAAGCAGAAATAACAGTTTATATTTTTCACATCTCAAAATATCTGGAAGCTTCCAATGAATTTTCACATGGTATCAGATCTAAGGACTCTCGATCCAAGTTTGCTTTGATTTTTGATTTTTTCAACATTAATTCTCAAAGTTTTATGGATTTGATATCCAGTTTCATCTAAATTCACTAGATTCTACTGCAATTTCAACGCTTTCATCTTCTGGGTCAATCCTGATTTGTTGGATTCTGCTATGATTTTTGCATTTTAACCTTCCATTTATGATTCTGAATCTGAAACTGTGGTTGAAATGGAGAATATAGACTGTGATCATCCGTACTACTAGTATGCATCTGAATCCCCTAGTATGACACTCGTTTCGGCTCCTTTCAATGGATCTAGATATAGAGGATGGAGGAAATCTTTGTTAATTGCATTATCGGCAAAAAATTAGTTGGGTTTCATTGATGGAACCTTACTGTGATGACCCGATAGGTCATCTTTAAATTTAATAATTATTTTTGTATTCTTAAACCTCAAATTACACCATTCAGCTTTTCTCGACTTGTGTGCACAATCCGCAAATTTTTTGAAAAGTTTTTATGTGAAAAATTGATTAAAATGTGAAATGAAACTTCAAAACTCATTTGAGTTGACTTCGGCCAATATTTTAAGCAAACAAACCTGGATCAGGGTTTTGACGGTCCCGGAGGGTCCGTATGGTGATTTTGGACTTAGGAGCGTGTCCGTAAAATTATTTGGAAGTCCTTAGTTAAATTAAACTTGAAATGGCTAAAATAGAAATTTAAGCTTGGGAGTTTGACCGGGGAGTTGACTTTTTGATATTGGGGTCGGAATCTGATTCGGAAAATTTGAATAAGTCTATTATGTCATTTATGTTTTGTGTGCAAAATTTGAGGTCAATCGGACTTGATTTGATAGGTTTCGGCATCGAATGTAGAAGTTAAAAATTCTTAAGATTCCTTAAGCTTGAATTGGGGTATGATTCGCGGTTTTAGCGTTGTTTGACGTGATTTGAGGTTTCGACTAAGTTCGTAGGATGTTTTAGGACTTGTTGGTGTATTTGGTTGACGTCCCAAGGGCCTCGGGCGGATTTCGGATGGTTAACGGATCAAAATTTGGACTTAAGGAAACTCTAAAATTTTGGCCTTCTAGTGTAATCACACTTGCGGATTTTTGACCGCAGGTGCGAGCTCACAAAAGCGAGTCTTGCATCGCAGAAGCTTGAGGTCCGCAGAAGCGGACGATGCCTCATAGAAGCGGACGATGCCTAGCAGAAGCACGACCGCAGATACGGCACACGCATCGCAGAAGCGGAAAGGGGGAAGGGGCAGCCTCGTCGCAGAAACGGACACTTCATCGCAGAAGCGAACTCTTATCCGCAGAAGAGAGCCAGCTCGCAGAAGCGACTACCATCTCCGCAAAAGCGAAACTGCAGATGCGGTTAAGTGTCCGCAGGTGCGGAAGCACTGGACAGATTACAAAATAGAGGGTTCCGACAATTTTTGTCATTTTGGACATTTCCAACATGGGTTGAGGCTATTTGTGAGCCAGAATTCATGGAAAAACTTGAGGTAAGTCACTTGTGATCATTGTTAGTCAATAATATTGAATCACCATCGATTATTCCGACTAGATTACGTGTTTTTGAAGTAAAAATTGAGGATTTGGGCCTAGGGATTTGTAAATAAGATTTAGGGATTTGAAGGTCGAGTTGATGTTGGAATTTGGTAAAATTTATATGGTTGGACTTGTGGTTAAATGGGCGTTCATATTTTATAACTTTTGTCGGATTCTGTGATGTGGGCCCGCTGTCAATTTTTGAATTGAATTTCAGATTTTGATTGAAAAATTTAGTATTTTCATATAGAATTAGTTTCTATAATTCGTATTGAGTATATTGAATTGTTTGTGACTAGATTTGAGGCATTCAGACAACAATTCGCGAGGCAAAGGTTTATTAGAATCTTGAGTTGGTTGGAAAGCGAGGTAAGTGTCATGGTTAACCCTGACTTGAGGTAACGAGTACTTATGCGTTGTGGTTGAGTCAAAACATGCAGGTGAAATTTGTTTATTGTGAATAATTTCCTATTTAATTAAGATATTTCTGCTTAAGTTATTATTATTTATTTGATCATTTTTCATGAAATTATTGTTGAATAATTTGGAAGGTGAGGTCGATATTCTGGTATTGAATTGATTGATAAATATATATCCCCGTATTTTAATACTCTTTCGAATTTATATTATTATTTTCATGGTAAGGAAGAGTGTAAAAGCAAGAAAGGTGATGTCGTGTAATTTCACATTATTATTTATTAAATTATGAAGTGAGGAAGAGAGTTAAAGCACGAAGGGTGATGCCGTGCCATTTCCAGAAGATAGTTAAAGCACGAAGGGTGATGTCGTGCCATTTTCAGAAGAGAGTTAAAGAACGAAGGGTGATGTCGTGCCAATCTTATTATCTATTTATCAATTTATGGAAAGAATGAGAGTAAAAGTACGAAGGGTGGTGCTGTGACATTTTCATATTATCAGCTGATCATTTTATTGTTGATGAATTAATTGGCTGCTACGTGACACTTCTCCTGCTCAAATTTCTATTTCATTCCCATTCGCATGTTCCCTCCCAAATTTATAAAGTATTATTTATTGTGTTATTGTTGCTTTGTATTTGTATATACTCGTACAAGTTGTTTATGTACGTGTCTTGTCATAGTCTCGTCACTATTTCGTCGAGGTTAGGCTCGATAATTACAGAGTACATGGGGTCGGTTGTACTCATACTACACTCTGCACTTCTTGTGCAGATTTTGAAGTTGGTCCCAGTGGCGTACCATAGACCTGCTCGGATTCAGCCACCCAGAGGAGACTTGAGGCATAACTGCACACCGTCCGCAGTTCTGAAGTCCCCTTCTATCTTATCTTAATTGTGTATTATCTTTCAAACAATTTGAATTTTATTCAGACCTTTATTTGTATTATTTTCGTAGCTCGTGCACTTGTGACACCAAATTCCGGGATGTATTTGGATGATTCAGTTGTTATTGTCTTCCGCACTTTATTTCAGTAATCGACTTCCGTTTAATTTGATTTGTTTAAAAATGGCTAAGATTATTTTAACGTTAGCTTTCCTAGCAAGTAAAATGTTAGGTGTCATCACGGTCCTGAAGGTGAGAATTTCGGATCATGACACTTACTTAGGCCCAAAGATGGAACACCAGACCTTAAATCCTAGAATAGGTGTAATGACATAGTGTTCGCATGGTTGCTCAATTCACTAACAGTTGAAATTAGGTCAAGTGTAATTCATTCCAAATCTGTGAGGATTTTATGGAAACAGTTTGAGAACATGTATGGATAATCCAATCTAGCACAATCATTTGAATTGAAAAAATAATTGTTAAAAACTGTGCAAGGATCGAGTAACATTGCAACATATTTTAACAAAATGAAAGCTATATGGGATGAGATAAAACTCATTGACTCTAGGCCAATATGCACGTGTGTGGACTGTAAGTGTAGTACAATTGAGAAGAATCATGAAATTGAAGAAAGACAAAAATTAGTTTAGTTTCTGATGGGATTAAACGAGACATACATTGGAATTAGAGGAAACATCATGATGATGCAACCTTCCCCAACCATTGACAGAGCATATTACTTACTATTACAAGAAGAACGACAGAGGAGTATACAAATTATAGCTCAATATCCTAGTGATTCTAGTTCATTTGTTGTGCCTGGGCAATATTTTGGTCAAGGCAGGCAGAAACCTAATCCTAATAGAGGGAATGGGGCTGTCCCTTACAAAAATAACTAGGAACAATGAAAGAATCTTTTTTGTAACTATTTCCAGAAGCTAGGTCATACTATTGAGAGATGTTTTAAGCTCCATGGGTATCCACAAAATGCTAAAAATACTGGTAATAGGCAGAACACGTATCACTCTTCAGCTCAAGAAAATGCAGTGTTTTTAGATGAGAATGTCAGGCAGATGCATACTAATAAAACTGAAGCTACAATTGGAGTTACTCAAGGTCAGCTTGCTCAATTAATGGAAATGCTTCAACAAGTTAAAGTTGGTCAACACACAACATCATCTTCTGAAACTCATGCCACTGCTAATTGTGCTGGTATATTTCTGTCTCATTCCAATTCTCTTCCTCAATCTACCAAAACTCACTTTTCGATTATCGACTCTAGCCATCTGAACATATGAGCTTTGATCTAACCATTATGAATAGTGTAAAACACTTGGCTAGGCCTATCAATGCGACCTTACCTAATTCTCAAAGGGTCAAGGTCACACATGCAGGACAAGTCATTGTTCATCCTTAATTGACTCTACAAATAGTCCTATTTGTACCAGATTTTAAGTACAACTTGATTTCTATACATAAACTTTGTAATTAATTTCAGTCCATTCTTACCTTCAGTGATTCTTCTTGTTTCTTGCAGGGCCTTTCCTTAAGGAGGCCTCTGGTTCTTGGTGAAATCCAGGCTGGACTGTATCTTCTTCATTCTACTCATCATCCTGTTGCTTCCTCTGATTCCCTACAAATAGCTCAGAAAACTTTAGATTCTCAATTTTTTTCTAATAAAGTGTCTGCTAAGTCTCATACTTTACATTCAGTGTCTAATTCCATTATTTCTATGTCTAATTGTACTTATTCTTGCAGCGATTTATGGAACATTAGATTGGGGCATTTGCCTCAATCAAGAATGAAGTATATTCCTGGTTGTATGCAGCACAACTCTAGTATGAATGATTTTCCTTGTACTATATGTCCTTTGGCTAGACAACACAAATTGCCTTTTCCCATTAGTACCAGTTTCACCTCACATATTTTTGAATTGATTCATATAGATACATGGGGAACATATAAAGCAATACTCATGATGGCTTTAAGTACTTCCTCACTATAGTAGATGACTATGGTAGGGGTACTTGGACCTACATGTTTATTACTAAAAGCAATGCCTTTACTGTTTTGCAGTCTTTTATTTCTATGGTTGAAACACAGTTTTAACACCAAAATTAAAAAGATTAGGTCAGACAATGCCCTTGAACTGGGCAGTAATTCTACTACTGTTTACTTTATTTCTAAAGGCATCATTCACCAGACCTCATGTGTTGCCACCCTTCAACAAGATGGTATTGTAGAAAGGAAGCACAAATACCTCTTGGAAACATGTAGAGCCCTAATATTTCAGTCCAAAGTCCGTATTTGCTATTGGGTGAGTGCTTGTTGACTTCTACCTTCCTAATAAACAGGTTCCCTACCAAGATTCTTCAATACAAAACCCCTTTATGAGGTTCTTTTTTACAAACCTCCTCATTATACTTTCCTTAGAAGTTTTGGTTGCCTGATGGTAGGCTATAATTATGTATTTTGGCCATCAATTGCACTCTAATTTGCTGTACTTTACTAGTGTTTGAGCTTTAAATGGTATTATTTTGCACTGAGTGTGTGTTTTATGCTTTGTAGGAGCAATTTCGAGTTACGATGATGTTGTGGAGCGAATTCGAGCTATTTTGGATCTTTGAAGTATGAGTAAAAGCCCATGGATTACGTCGGGATCGTAATCGAGGATCAACGGACAATAATCCACTTAACGAAGAGAAACTGGAATTAAATAGCAGGAAGCCACCTAGGTGCGCGACCGCGCACTGGGCGCACTAGTGGAGCAGAACACTGTCCAAAGTGTGCGGCCATATGCACGATCACCTGCCCAAGTGCGAGGTCGCGCATGTCCAGTCCGGAAAACATTTCCAAGCCTATTTTGTAATTTTAGAGGCGACTCATCTTGACCTATATGAAGCCCAGCTTGTCTAAAAAGAGGGTATCTTAGATTTTTAGAACAACTTTTGGGAGAGAAGAAGGAAGGAAGCAACGAAAACGCAAAATACTTGATCAAATTCATTCAATACAGAAGTTTGTTTGAATTTGGAAATTGTAATGTCTTCTTGGTCTTCTAATACTCTTGCGATGAATACTTTCTCCATTATGGAGTAATCTTTCGTAGGGTTATTTACGGATGTTGTGATTTGACTATCGTTTTGGGTTTTACTCTATGTTAACTGCCCGAATTCATTAAATGGGTTATTAATTAAATAGCAAGGCTTATTGTGGGTTTACTTTAATCGAAGGAGAGGTTTTACTGATATTCGCATTGTTCCATATTGTTTGGGTTGATTTTACGCCTCTTCTAGGTGATCGAAAGAGTTTAGAGAGTTATCAATTGACTCAGTTTAGAAGAATAATCGAGAGATGTTCGTCGAAAGATCATTCATTCACTATTTTGTGCATATGTTCATATGACCTGTTATTAGGTTGATCAAAGGAATCTCATTCATTCAGAATAAGAATTTGAATCCCTAAAGTAGCCTAATCATCTGCTGAAATCGAAGGAGTCAATAGAAGTTAAGAATGAACTTAACCCAGAGTTACCCGGAACATTAGTTGATCACATATCTTGTCACAACCCTTACTTCTCACCCTGATATTAAATCATTGCTACTAGTCATTAAAGTGTCATTAGTTTCTTACAATTGATAATCTTAGTTTTATTTGTACGATAATAACATCAATCAAAGGTTTATTATCCTGGATAGTATTGAGTTGAAGATTTATTATAACATTATTTAAACTAATCCTTATGGAGACGATTTAATACAATACTATCTTTGACTAGCGAGCCTAAGTTTTATACACCGGTTTTGCGCTCATCAAATTTTGGCGTCGTTGCCGGGAATAGGCGATTAATAGTGTTTAAATTAATTTTCAGTGCTAATTCAGGAACAACTTTATTTTATTTTTATTTTTTTACGCTCTTCTCATCTGTGTGCAGGAAACATGTTAAGTTCAGTGGTATATGACTCGATCCTCTTCAAAGGATTTGGTGCCATACGACCCAGAGTTAGACAAGCACTTGAGGCAGTTGAGAAGAGAGAAATGATCGAGTGGATTGTTGTTAGGTCAGCCTTCAACTCAAAATACAATGGTGAACAACAAAGAAGTTGTGGACCTAGATACGAAAGAGGTAGCTCAGCAACAGGAAGCACGATTAGCAGCTGAAGCAGACGGTAGAATTGTAGATTAAACGGATGATGGGGGTCGAAGGTTCAATCCCAACCAAAACATGATCGAGGATGAATTTTAAAATGTAGTTCTGAGGCCTGGGAGATCGCTAGGAGATATTCTAAACCGGTGTACTACCAACAACAGTCTAGTTTGAGGACTCTACCAATCATTGCCAACAATTTTGAACTCAAACAGGGAGTCATCCAGACCATTAAGAACAATTGCATTTTCATACGCGTCCAGTCTAAACTCCAATGCATTCATCTGCGCCAACCTGTGTTCACCTACAAGACTAAGATCAAGATTAAGCATCTTCATTGCCTAATAAGCTTTATGTTCTATCTCAACGGGTAGGTGATATGATTTTCCATACACTAGTTTGAATGGTGAAGTCCCTATAGTTGTTTTGAACGCAGTTTTGTGCACCCATAGAGCTTCTTCCAACTTTGCCGAACAATCCTTAAGAGAAGCACTAACCGTTTTTCCAAGAACACGGGAGTTTAGACTGGACGCGTATGAAAATGCACGGATTTTCAAGAAAAGACTAAAAGGAGGCATGATCGTCTCATTAAGCCAAATGAGTTTCATGAAGGGGACAAAGTCTTACTGTACAATAGTAAACTCAGACTATTCCCCAGAAAATTTAGGTCTAGATGGACCGGACCGTATGTGGTGAAACATGTATCACCATATGGGGCAATTGAGATCCAGAACCAAGACGGAACGGAAAGTTTCAAAGTGAATGGGCACAAACTAAAACCGTATATTGCTGGAGAATTTGCTCAGTAATCCCTGAGCATCAAAATTAGTTGAGGATACCTGGTTGAGTCACCTGGGGGGAACCTCACGCATTTGGTCGCCAATGTTATACGAAGTGGGACGTGTGCGGCCGCACATATTATGGGGTGACCGCACACCTGGTCGCGCATTTTCACAAGTGTACTGCCTCAAGTGTGCGACCGCGCACCTACCGCGCTTCAGGTAAGTTTTTCCCTTTTGATTTTAATTTCGGACTTTCCCTTCTCAAAACCCCCCAATTCTAAAATTCCATCTTTCTCTCCCCTACACTAAACAACCCTAATTCGACCCC